AAAAAATCTAAATTAAAATAATTTCTACTCTTGTTGTTGCTAGGTACCATCAAGGTAGGCTCTGATTTCTGGCAACCTTAGCACACAGAATGAAATAATGATGTTCTGTGACTGGAACCTTGCTGTTGTTGTTATGTGCCATCGAGTTGCCTGCGATTTATAGTGACCCTATGTACAACAGCCCTAAACCCCGCACCCTGCTCTATTCTATCCCTTACCAGTCTTGTTGTCTCTGACACACTTGGACTTCTACTGCCTCCCTATTTCTGATATCTTTTCCAACTTTGGAAGTCCTTATTACTATCCGGAACTGTTTGTGGTGAGTTCTTCAGCTGTCCATTTTGTTTCACCCCTGTGAATACTTCGAAATTCATAGCATCTTATCTCCCTTTTGTCTTCGGGAGCTGCTGAAATAAGTTGTCAAAGCATCCAATAGTTGATTTTGATTGGGGATCATTCCCATCCCCTTTAGACTTTCTGGATCCCACTATCGGAGTTCATCAGGTGAGGTCCATGTGTAAACTGATATTTGTGTTTTTTAGAAAAGGTATTTGCAATGCTGTGAACATAACACATATTCCTCAGCTCTGTGGGTTTCTAATGTGTTGAATTCACATGATATTCATCAAAGACTATTATAAAAAAATATTTTCATAAGAAAAGAACATTTCTATGGAGGAGACATGCATGTAATTATTATTAATCTTTGAATTGTATTCATCACTGAATGTACAAAATTTGATCATTCTACTTCCAGCCTCATTTCTGCCACCAAGTAATAGATACTTTGCAACTACCATTCCTTCTTCATTGTTTCTGTCTTTTGCATTCCAGTAACCAATTATCATTAATACACCTTGACTGTATGTTTGGTCAGACTGCAAATTTTGGTAAAAACTTTCAATTTCCTCCTTCTGGGCTTTATCAGCAAAGGGCTCAAGTATGTCAGAAATTGTGAAGATGTCACAGGATAGGTTCCTTTTCATAGATCACTTGGGCTGTACTCAACAGCATCTAACAACAACTACATGAGTCAAGGACAAGGCGTTTTGGCCAAAGATTTTTCTCACTGTTCACTTGTCAAAAAGTAACTTACTATAAGGCAATTTCTTAAATTCATCTCTTCCAACAGTGACATAAAACCATCCATTCTCCAATGCTGTCTCACTTTCAACAAGTTTTCCTTTCAAAGCGTACAGTCTATGAGCAGCCCCACTCATGAGAGTTCTTTATTGTGCATTTATTGTGCATTTATTGTGTGTTTATTCTGTATATGATCCTACTGAGTCAAGATTTTTCTTGGGATAAGGAGGCAAGAAGCTATATTTAAGACAACTCTATGTGCATTCAAGAAGACAGTGCGGGGCTCCAGGAGTGGTTTTCTGAAGTTAGGAGGCACACTGATTCCATTGTTTTACCATTTAGGAGGCTGAAGTCCAAATTCAAGGTGCTAGTTCTAGGGGGCAGCCTGCTTTCTCTGTTGGTTGGAAAAACGGTGCTTGTTTCTTCAGCATGTGTAGGTCAGGTGTCCGTTACAAATCAGCACATGTCCTGTC